GAGGAGGAGGAGGGGGAAGAGCAGGAGGAGGAGGAGGAGGAGGGAGGAGGAGGAGGAGGAGGAGGACGAGGACGAGGACGAGGACGAGGACGAGGACGAGGACGAGGAGGAGGAGGAGGAGGAGGAGGAGGAGGAGGGCAGCAGCAGCAGCAGCAGCAGCAGCAGCAGTCAGAGTAATGATGTCTGAGATTTACCACCCTTCGTCTCCTGCTTTCCTCTCCCTCTCTCTGCATTTGAATCCCACAGTATACAGCGCATTCCAGAATTTGGCACTGAGTATTGTAACGTGCGCTCTCTCTATCTTAACTTTGCTTGCAGCCCCCGGACGTATCCTCACACTAGGCCTCAGTAGTTGCCCCTGGGCCATCGGAGTTCTCAGCGCTATAGGTTTCATGACACTGCTGTGTTGTTCGGTAGACGACGAAGATGACCCATAGCCATACTTGCCCAGGCGAGCAGGGGTGGCGTAACCTGCCATTGCTGCTTCCAGAGAGCAGCCGCCTGAGATCATCGCTCGCTCGCTGCGGTGATATACATCCTCGCTCGACCAAGCAGCACGCTGATGTTCCTTCTTGTGGGTTTCAGCGTCTAAACCCCGACGAGCTTTCGACGGCTACAAGAAATAACACGTTTGGGCTTTTAGCCCTGTATGTGTGCCTGGTGGATTGTCCTTCCCACTCTTCTGGCATGGCTATCACAACGTTGCGTATTCAAGCCATTCTTCCACATGTACCGCTACTACATCTTCGACGCTCTCTGTATGCATGTTCAGAGTCACAGCTGTTGGAACATATCATCGATTTCATGGATCTTCCTCGACATGACGTTGCACGAGACAATGGTGTTGCACTCGCCGTATTTGCCACAACTTGCATGCTTCAACGAGATGAATCACGACAGCTTCTGCAGAAATGGGCTTCTGTGCGATGCGTACTTGCGTACTGGAGTATGGCAGGAAAATCGTCACCGACTTGCTGGACACTATATGCACATCTGTCTGCTCCCCATGGCCTCAGCCACGTTCGACGATTTCACACAACAAAGCATTGGATTCGAGTTTTACTTAGAGCAAGCAAACCACTCCTACAAGCTGCCGTGCTACAAGGCCATGCTGATTCAGAGCGATGGCGTGTCTTTCTATGCTTTCTGTTTCGACAATGTTGGCGTGCCACAGACTTCCAACGAGACAGTGGAGTACTCTACGCTGCGTTCTCATCCGAATCAACGATATGGTATATTGGACGTACGACAGGTGCTCGCACAATCAACAGTCGAAGGGCGTTTGGACCAACACTACGATTTCGATCGCATTTTCGTTCGACATTCCAAGAGAGCGGCAATCAACGTGATCGACCCCGTTATCGTATTTGGCGCAATTGTTCGATCTGGAGTTTTACGCTATTTCCCATTGCTTGGAGCGACAGTAAGAACATTGCCGCATATGAATCTCTGGCGATCAACATTTTACGACCGCCGACGCAAACAGGCTTCGGACCCGCACAAATTGGACAGACACGCCGACCTCGACCTTTTCGACACCATCGAAAGATGCCTACCGTTAACGATGAGCTTGCGCTCAACCTCATCAAACAAGTCAAAGAGAATGAAGCTATGCGCCGCAGACTACATGCATCCACTGCAAATTTCACGATCTTGCTTGCCTATTGTAAAAAGCGATTTGGTTTCAACCGAGCCACGGTGCAAACATATATGTGCACTTTGTGGCTGGCCATATACCTTGGTGAACTCTCAACGCGTTTGGACTTCAAGCGACAGTGGCGCCATGGGAATGCGGGTTCCTACACACTTGAAGTTTGGGATGCCTGCAAAGACTTACCATATGAAGCGAAGATACGTGCAAGACGGAAGCTGGAATATTTTTTTGCAGCCTGGTAATCTCTTACCATCACGTGTATTTCGATTTCCACTCGCATGCCCGCCTGGACCCATGCATGTGCGATGCCAAGACTTACTGCGACGTTATCTATGTGAAGCGACACGATAATCTCCTGGACCGTATCTACAGCTGTTTCTTCGACACAAAACTACAGATTCACAAAGCAAAGCTGCCAATGGTTTCAGATGCTATATCCCAACAACATGATGCGACGCGACATTTGACAGTCAACCTGTACAAGCTGCTACGTGATAGTGATGATGAACCGTTATCCCACAGTGTGGCGTGGACTCACCAATACTGGGATATCCCACTACCTTTCTCGACACCGACTCTGGTGCGACAACTTGAAGCCGGAATGCGATCCCACTTTGCAAGATATCAGATCAATGGAAAATTCGCCGGCCTGGCGAAGCTGGTGTACCCGAAGTTGCCGAATACCGTGGACATACACACGCTTGCTACTGCATGTTTCCCGACAGCCCCATCAGCGCCACCCTGTTCGCCGATACTGTCGCTTCGCGACGATTTCGTTTCACAGCTTTCTGAGTTCTGCTGGGTGCCCGTCGATAAAGACCCGCACCGCCGAGCTGCCTTTCCTTGGCCGTGCTACGTTTGGAAGCTTGGCCAACGTTTCGTGGGCGATCCTGTGCGCTACCAACATCTTCCGAAGTGGAGTGCGAAAATGGTATGTAAAAAGATGGACCGTTTGGCGCGTAAGTATATCCCAGATCGCCGGCGCGATCCCCGACCTTGTGAGAAAGAAAACCTTGCGAAGGCCTACCTTGCAGTTAAAGCCAAATATATCGATAAGAACACTGGAGAACTATGTTGTACTAAACCTCATGCCCATAATCGAGACATATGTGCTGCCCCTAACGCCTACCAGCGTACATACATACGGAAAGCTGCTAGAGGTTTACGACTTGTCAAGAAACTTAGTGGAGACGAGATGTGGACACTCTGGGAAATGGCTAACCTACCCGATGCTATACATACTAAAAGTACGAGCCCTGGAAGATGTGCCCGAACATCGCTTTCGATGCCCATGCGGAGCTCCCAAGACCCCCATTACCTGGACGAAAGCAGATGCTAGCCAATTTTTCAAAGACGCGAGTGTTGGGCGTGGAATCTTACGGTGCGATGCGTTGCTCGACCGCGTCCGCAAGAAAACAGGTCAGAATGCTATCGCAGTCCGTCGTTCACCCCGAGCTCACGGACATCCATGTTGTGCAGGACAGCGTGTACCCCCTGAATGCGATGTGCTATCCTTCAAGGACCTTCGGCGTGCTATACGCTACGCCGCTCAGGACGCGAACTTTTTCCTGGGGCGAGAAATTTTCTCACGTGCTAAAGGCTGGCCGATGGGAGGTGCTATGTCAGAGCCAGCTACCCTATGTGATTTGGGTGAGGAGATACACGACCTCTACTCCTCTCCCTCCAGAGCCCATGAGATTGGATTACATTTTCGTGATCTCTCACCTCACCAACTGTTGCAAGGTCTGCTGTATGTGGACGATTCCCTCCTGTGCTCGCGCGTCTTCTGCCCGTCCTGTTGCTTTGGCTTCATCCAACGCCTGTGGCCTAGAGACGTCGGAGTCACGGAAGAAGGTAGATCGCTCCCGGTGGACTTTTAGCAGGTTCGAATCCTGGAGGTGTCTGGAAATATCGAGGTCCATCCGTTCTCACACAATGAACAGTTTGCCCAAGGCCTGGAAGCTAACCCACATTACGCCAAGTTCCCCGTATGGAGCTCAGCCCCAAACGAGTTACCATTTAGTACTATACGTACCCTGGTCCTGGAGCGTATCCTGGTGTACAACAATATGTCTAAAGGAAATGCACACTGTGCACGTATGGCTTTCCTGTGCCTGGTTAGCGAAGTACTCAAATGTGATTGGCCTGCCTCTATACTTAGTCGAGCTCTACGAAATATCCCACGACGACATAAATCTAGATATGTTGCTATCGTTCGGCTCTTTGGGAAATGGCTGGGTAACAATGATTTGGTACTCCGCGGGCTCCCTGCTGATCGTTTCTCTGGTCCGTTTCTCTTCCAGTGGTTGGCTGCTCAGTATGATTGGATACTCCAGGGAACCGACGCCCCAGATTTCATGGCCCTGCCACTGTATCCGTAGCTTGTTCTCAAGCTTCCCAAGAACCAGTACATGCCCACGCGCAGTGGACTTCCGTAACTCGATCTCGATCAGACCTCTTCAATTTCGTAGCGCTGCAGGAGCCATGTCCACGTGGCAGCGCCCCTGGCACGGTGGATCTGGAGGCTCAGGCACGCAACACTTCTCTAAAGGTGGAAACAAAGGTGGGGGAAAAGGGCAGGACACTCGTCTGCCCGCCTACGTGATGAGCGCCGTGGAGTCCTCGTCTGCAGTGAATGAGGCTTTCCTTCGCCGTGAGCAAGCCAAACAAGCAGCAGCAGAGAACAAGACGTTCATGAAAAAAGTGAAGAAGTCGGCGATGAAAGCAGTGACAGCAATCTTCGGTGGTGGAGGTAAGCCAAAGTCAAAAAAAGTTCCAGTTCCTGAAGTTTGCCAACCGCAAGCTGAAAGCCCACGGTAGCGACGCGTCCGTAGCCAGCAGTTCGGCATCAAGTCAAGGATCAAGCAGTTCTAACAGCTCGAATGGACAGCTGAATTTCAAGATGACCGCGAAGCAGGCCGCAAAGATGAAGAAGGCAAAGAAGGCGGAGAAAGAAAACGCAAAAACTGCAGCAAATGCCTCTTCTAAGCCCGACATGGACAGCATGAAGAAGCAGCTCGCCGAGATACAGCAGACCATGATCGACATCGCCGCCGCCAAGAACGTGCCTGCTGAGGCATATGCATCGCCGAGTGGAAAAGGCCCCAAGAAGCTCAAAGCCCCCATGAAGCAGACCCCCGGCGAGCTCAAAGACGCCCAGCAAAAAGCGATGAAAGAAATCCTGCAGGCGCTGGCCCCGTCGGAGGACATCAATTCGCACCCGAAGACGCCGAAGGAGTTCTGTGAGTCCATCGGTAGCCTTACGCAGATCAAAGCCGCGGACTGGAACAAGCTTCTGAAAGAACACAACCTCAGCACGAGCTCAAGCATGGGAAAAGCAGCCAAAGCCGAGCTGCTGCTGAACCACCTGACGGCGACTGATGACGAGGACTGAAGATGTTGCTGCGTATACTCTCCATGATTAAGGCCGCCACCTCCGTGATGTTCCTTGTGCGCTGGGCCCCGTGCGCCATTGCCTCAGACCTCGTGCAGTGGACGCTCGAGGCTGCCACGCCGTTGCGGGGGGGGCTGAGTGATTTTGTTTCGCTTTTTCTTGGTCATTTCTTGATTGCATGCTTAGCTGCTGCCTTTATCTTCTGGGAGGGCGCAGCAGCAGCAGCAGCAGCGGCAGTCAGATTAATGATGTCTGAGATTTACCACCCTTCGTCCCCTGCTTTCCTCTCCCTCTCTCTGCATTTGAATCCCGCAGTATACAGCGCATTACAGAATTTGGCACTGAGTATTGTAGCGTGCACTCTCTCTACCGTAACTTTGCTTGCAGCCCTCGGACGTATCCTCACACTAGGCCTCAGTAGTTGCCCCTGGGCCATCGGAGTTCTCAGCGCTATAGGTTTCATGACACTGCTGTGTTGTTCGGTAGACGACGAAGATGACCCATAGCCATACTTGCCCAGGCGAGCAGGGGTGGCGTAACCTGCCATTGCTGCTTCCAGAGAGCAGCCGCCTGAGATCATCGCTCGCTCGCTGCGGTGATATACATCCTCGCTCGACCAAGCAGCAGCAGCAGCAGCAGCAGCAGCAGCAGCAGCAGCAGCAGAGTGGGAAGGAAGGGGAGGAGGAGGAGGAGGAGGAGGAGGAGGAGGAGAAGAAGGAGGAGGGGGAGGAAGAGGAGGAGGAGGAGGAGGAGGAGGGGAAGGAGGAGGAGAGGGGGGATGAGGAGCAGGAGGAGGATAAAGAGGAGAAGGAGAAGGAGGAGGATGAGGATGGGGACGAGATGGAGGAGGAAGAAGAAGAGGAAGGTGAAGTAGGGGGCGGGTGATGATGATGATGCTGATGATGATGATGGTGAGGATGAGGATGATGATGACGATGAGGATGAGGATGATGATGAGGATGAGGATGATGATGATGATGAGGATGATGATAATGATGATGATGACGATGATGCTGATGATGGCGATGCTGATGCTGATGCTGCTGCTGCTGCTGCTGCTGCTGATGATGATGATGATGGTGCTGCTGCTGCTGATGATGATGCTGATGCTGCTGATGATGATGATGCGGCTGATGATGATGATCATGATGAACATCATGATCATGATGATGCTGATGTTGATGATGCTGATGCTGATGCTGATGCTGATGATGATGTTGATGCTGATGCTGATGCTGATGATGATGCTGATGCGGATGAGGATGAGGATGAGGATGAGGCTGAGGATGAGGCTGAGGATGAGGATGAGGATGAGGATGAGGATGTGATGATGATGCTGTTGATGTTGATGATGATGATGATGAGGAGGAGGATGAGGAGGAGGACGAGGAGGAGGACGAGGAGGAGGAGGAGGAGGAGGAGGAGGAGGAGGAGGAGTAGGGGGAGGGGGAGGGGGAGGAGTGGGATGAAGCTGGGCGAGGAAGGGGAGGAGGTGGTGGTAGTCAGCTCATGGTCTCTTTGCACTTCCACAACAATCGCCCTTTGACCGCCATGCGCTGTCAGGAACCGCGGGACAATGCCTTCACGGGAGGTGACAGGGCGAAAACCCTCAACCGCAAGCCGACGATGTAGAACACAGATAAGAACTCATGAAGTGCAGGCACGGTTTGAGGACTATGCGAAGCCGTTTCGCCGAAGACGATTCTGCTCAAGACCAGGCTCTCGTTTGAGACTTCTGCATTGTCTGCGGCCCCACGGTTTTAAATGCGCAGCTCTTGCGCGAAGGGAGGGTGGCTCCTTCTGGGCGTGCGATTCTCGCCTGGTATATATGTTCCTTTCAAGTTTGCGGTTTTTGCACCTGGCGCCTCTAACAACTACAAGGGCGGATGGCAGTACGCGTCAAAACGGGGTTCCCTTCCTGAAAGGTGGGAGGACGGGCGCCCGTCCTTCGGAGGGGCGCCTCCCCCGCACTGACAAAAAAAAACACCCGCGGGGACGCCCGGGGAGAGGCGTTTCGGAGGGAGGGGGAGGAGAGGAGGAGGATCTACGAGCCATAGAGGAGACGGTGCCGCCTCCCCCGAAGCCCGCGCGCGCGCCCACGCGCGCGGGCGCACGGGGGTCCTGACGGGGCAGGACCCCCGACCGTGATGACGAGCACGACCATGCCGACGAGCACCACGATGTCCGCGGGAGGGGGAGGGGGCGAGGGCCCTGCGCGCGTAGCGGCGAGGCCCCTACCGCCCCCCCCCGCAGCTCCTCCCGCGGCCGGCCGCCCCGGGCCCCGGACCACCGCCGCGTGGACCATCACGCGGAAGGAGGCCCCCAGCAGCCAGGGCCGCGGCGTCGGCGGGGGACATGCCCGCGGCGAAGGCCTCCTCGAGGAACGCCTTCATGCCCGCCGCGCCGCCGCAGCCCGCCGCCGCAGCGGCCACGGCGGCGGCAGGAGGACGCGGGTCCTCCGCCGCCACCGTGTCGGTGCGCCGCAGCTGCCTCCGCGCACGGCGCGGCGGCAGCTCGTCAGCCCACTCGTCGTCGACGACGTCGACGACCATGGGGAGCTGCACGAGCTCGAGGCCAGCAGCGGCGGCGGCACCGTCAGCAGCGCCTCCACGCCCAGCGTCGGCCGCGTTGGCCGCCCCGCCGCGCTCCGCCGCCCGCCACGCCGCAAGGCGCAGGCGGCGGCGTCGGCGGCGCTCGACCTTCGCGGCGGAGCTGCGCGGGGGCGCATCCTCATCCTCGGCGCGCGCAGCACCAGCGGCGGGCGGCGGCGCGGGTGGCGCGGTCCGCGCACGGAACGCGACCGCCGCCACAGCGCCAGCCACCGCCGCCACAGTGCGGCGCGGCGCCTTCGCCTCCACAGCGGCGCGGACGGCGGCCGCCAGCAGGGCGACGCCGTCCACCGCAGCCGAGGGGGCCCCTCTAGGCCGAGCCATCGCGCGGGGCGGACGGCGGCGGCCAATGCGAACGCAGAGCCAGGTGGCTAGAGCCAAATGGCTTGAGCCAAAATGGCTTGAGCCAAAATGGCTTGAGCCAGATGGCTACGGAGGAGAGGAGGAGGAGGAGGAGGAGGAGGAGGAGGAGGAGGAGGAGGAGGAGGAGGAGGAGGAGGAGGAGGAGGAGGAGGAGGAAAAGGACCAGCCGAGGCCACGGCGGCTCTCTCGCCGTCCCCGCAGGGACACTTGGGTTGACGCATCCTGGGTTTACTGGAGCCTTCAGTCGGGCGTGCGGGTCCCTCTACAGGAGGAAGTTCAAAAACTGGTGACAAAAAAGTCTGGGGACGACGCTTTGACTGTGTTTGACCATTTTTGGATATGTTCTGTCTTCTTTGAACGTTTCGTCCGAAATCCGCCTGTAGGAGGACACGCCCGACCTACAGTCAACGCGCATAGTAAGGACAAACGATTTTTTCAAGGGTGCCCTTGGGTCCTTGCCTGCCTCAGCCTCTGCGGCGGCCCGTCCCTAGCAATTTTCGCAGGCCAGTTTCTCAGGTTCCCTGGGGGCCTGGCCGCCTGCCGCCCAGAATACTTCAACTTCGGCCTCCAAGGGTCTTGCGTCCTTGCCACGCGTCCTTACAGTCGGGGCCCTGAAGAAGGAACCCTTTTCGTTGGGGAGGGGCTCCGTGTTCCTCGATTGCTTCACAGTTTGCCTTGGGTTTTGCTTTGGTTTTCGTTAGGAAATCGAGGTCCAACTTGTGGATCTAAGGGGCCTCGTTCCTTATTTAGGGCTCCTTAGGTCAACGCCCCGACTGTAAGCACTGTAGTCCTCTTCCCCTCCATCTCCTCTCGACCGCGCGGCTCCAGGAGAACCAGAGGCTGGCCCTGGAAAACCAGATGCTCAGGGAGAACCAGAGGCTGGCCCAGGAAGGCCTGGTAGTGATCATGCTGGCGCACAGTGGGGAGGAGGAGGGTGAGGAGGGAGGGGAGGACGACGGAACCGCATCGAGACGAGGATGACGGGGAGGAGGAGTGGGGCGGAGCAGAAGGGAGGATGATTACGCTGGTGATGGTGGTGTTTCTGATGAGGGGGGGCATCGACGAACCCTTCGGGTTTGAAGATGGGGGGGGGCAATTGTTAATTGATGTACGTTTCGATGTGCAGTTCGCCTTGCATGTTTGTTGTAATATTATTGTTGTTCCGATGTGTATGCTGATGGCATGTCGATGTGCCCTTCGATTTGCTTGTCGCTATTGTTCTCGATGTGCAAGTGTTGAGGGTGCGAGTATAATGCTACATGTATGGTAGACAATCCGAGGCAGCGGAGTAGTAGGGTAGGGAGAGACACGGCTCCGTACCATCGGATTGTTCCAGTTTGGTATCAGTGTGTTGCATGAAATGAGTTTGGCACGCGCCGTCTGCGCAGCCTGTTTGGCGCGAGAGGCATCATGGTAGCGGTGCTGACCGAGACCATCTCAAGCTAGCGCCCCCCATCGGCGTTGGCCTCCCCCGCGCGCGTAGCTGCGCCATCGCGGGCGATCTACGGCGCACCGTGCAACGGCACGGGGAAGCGAAGCGAAATCCACCACAAAAGGGCCCGGGTACAACCGAGCGGCCAACGGCGCTCGGGAAGCAACCGGGCGGAATTAACAGGTAGACCGCAGCAGCGACGGCATGCGTCGAGTGGCAGGGAGGCGGCCTTCAGCCGCCAACCGTCGACGGACTCGAGGAGCACTGCCGGGAATGGTCCTTCGTGATGAGAGCCTCCGTCGCAGGGCAGATGCAGACATCTCAGCGCCTGCTGAGGGCGAGGATCTCAGGAACGAGCCTGACATCTCGGCAAAGCAGGTCCAGGACTCGCTGGATGGCGAGGGCGCCGCGGCAAATCGTAAGATGTAAATCCGCTAGGTCATGACCGTGAAAGGCAGTGATCATATGATCATATGACCATACGGGGGGGTTGAACAACACAATGGCGCAGCAGCTTGGGGAGCATTGTACAAGAGGTGCGGACCAGCTGCGACGGTTCAGGCCCAGAGCATCATGACCAGCATCCTGAACGTCAA